CGTCGTCATGGCTCCTCAAATGGATTAACACAACCAGGGGATGCGAAAACATAAATGAATCATTTGAAGTGTTGATTTTATTTTATTTTAGAACCCTTATTTATTGTAAACAACCAAGGGCGTAGGTTCGGTCTAAGTTTTGGTGGGGACCTTGGTGGGGACCTTGACACCCCCCCTCCCCCCCGGCAGCACAGTGAAATGCCCAAGAGCACCGAACATTTTTGAGAAGGGGGGGGGAACCCACATTGGCTCAATAACCCCTCCCCCCAACCATAACCATATCATACATCTTGTGTATACAACCAGATACAGTCATACTCAGCAGATCAGTTCAAGAACACTTTACTTTTTCCTTTACAAAATTCAGCAAACGTTACAAGTAAGATCAAAAGAAATATCCTCTGGATACAGCAAACACAATTGCAGATAAGGAGAAATCAATAATAAAAGAAAAAAGAAAAAATATTACATAATTAACAGACCTATTCTACCTCACATTCAGTGCTGCTGACCTTACTAAACACCGGACTTTACAACAAATGCGTTGCGTGATAGATATCTAACTTATGGGTCCACTCACTACTTACAGCCGACGTAGCGAAATAACTTCTAATGTCTGTCCTTTTCTCTTTTGGTGGTGACATGGTCTCGGAGACTCAGAAGGAGACGCGTGTGCCCAGCTAGCCGCCTCCTTTTGCAGCTAATCAAAGAACGTCCGACGATTCAACTGACTCCCCCTCCCCCCACCCCCCCGACACGGTCTCGGAGGCTCATAATAAATGTCAAACTAAGAAGCTTCCGTTCCGCACCGCCTGTTGCTGCTAATCAAAGATCGTAGATCCACGTTCTTTGAGCCAATATGGCAAAAATTGGTCGGGACTTTTTCATATCCCGTGAATATTGGTCGGGACATGTCCCTACCGTCCCTACCCAAACCTACGCCCATGCCCTGTCTGTTGTCCTGTTGAAATGAAACTTATAGCAGAAACTCAGAGAACAAGTGTCATTATGTAGAAAAGGTGAAATCCTTCTTAACTCTTTATTTCTTCATTTTAGCAGGGGGATGCATTTTATGGCAATATGGATTTTGAGCCTGCCAATATTTGCATGCCCTCTTTATTTTCCCCAAATATTGTCCTATTGATATGAAACTCCATAGCAGCAGCTCAGAAAACAAGTTTGATTATGTAGAAAAGTGAAATCCCTCTTCACTCTCTATTTGGCTGAGTTACCAGGGGATTCATTTTTTTGGCACAGCAAATTATGATCTGCCGATATCTGCATGCCCTGTTTTTATTGATCTTATGAATTCATTGTGTCACAACAAAGGGTCAAACAGCAATAAATGGTTCCACCATCATTGTGTCAAGAACAGATTGATGAATGTGAACTACTTCAAGAGTTAGATTTGAGTAAAGTGGGTTCTTTATGAATATTTCTTACTGTGTTGTGAAACAATGAATGCATAAGATCAAATAGTCCAGTGACAGGAGAGGAAGGTCACCAGCCGCCTCCAAATGTCCCTTGGCAGAAAATGCATGTCCTGCAATTTGAAGATTTTGGATATTAATGTGTTTTATGAAATGTTCTAGACAATGACACACATCCTCTGAGCTACCAAAGAGACTTTCATATCTGTACCACAGTTTTGAGCTGAAAAACGGGGCATGCAGATATCAGCAGGCTCAAAATCCATATTGCCATAAAATGCATCCCCCTGTTAACTTGAAGAAATAAAGAGTTAAGAGGAATTTCACCTTTTCTACATAATGACACTCGTTCTCTGAGTTTCTGCTATAAGTTTCATTTCAACAGGACAACAGACAGGGGATGCAAATATTGGCAGGCTCAGAAATTAAAATGCATCCCCTCCTACATTAATAGACTAGACCAGAGGTTCCCAAACTGTGGGGCCTTTCAGACACTGATGCTGTATTATTATTTATCTTTTCTAGAACCACACAGTTACGTCAAATTAAGAAATAAATAGCAAGTTAAACCCACTGGAGCGCCACTCTGCCTTTCTTTGGAGTTCTAACCAGACTCACCACCATGATCTGAACATTTCCACTAGCCAGTTGCAGTCTGTATCTTTAAAGCATAACAGTGAGTTGGGGGGCTGCTGTGGTGGCACAGGGGCTTGGGACGACCCATGTATTGAAGCCTTAGTCCTCATGGCAGTGGTTGCAGGTTCAATTCCCGGCCTGGTGACATTTGGCGCATGTCTTCCCCGTCTCTCATTACCCTCTCTCCTGTCAAACTGCCTTCAAATAAAGGCAACTAGAGCCAACAAAACCTTTTAAAAATAAAAGGTATAACAGTGAGTCTCTAAGAATCTCTCTACCCTCCACAAAGTCTAACCCTCCCTATTGTAATCCATAGGGGGGGCCCAGAATATGTTTGGAAACCACTGGGGGGACACAGGAGAAAAAGTTTGGGAAGCACTGCTTTAAGCTATTATGGTGTTAAAAGAAAAAGTGGGGATTTCAAACCATCTGTGGAAAACATTTTCATCAGACAGTGACTGAAAAACATTCGACTCGTGTCTCAATAAAGGTGTAAAAACCGTATTTTTTTCAGTTAATCTGTGAAATAAAACCCACCGTTTTAGGGCTGACATGGTTAACAAACGTGATAATATTACGAATATCTTCAAAAGTTTCCTCTTCGGTCATATTTCAGTCCGTTTTCTCATCAATATGCGAGAGTTTAGAGCGATGCTCCTGTGACAGGGCATGCAATTCTCTGCAGGCCTGCGTTTCTCAGCATAACACCTGTAACACCTGTAACACCTGTAACACCAGTAACACCAGTAACACCAGTAACACCACTAACACCTGTAACACCTGGCCTCCAGGACCGACTTTCGACACCCCGGTTTTAAAACGTCCTCGACCCGATTCTCCGCCCTTAGAAGTAAAACCTCTCGTAAAGATACAGATGTGAGAAGGAAAACTCAAATCCCAGGCTGAACATGTTAGTGAGGATAAATAAAGTCAATTAAAACAAATGTGTCCGTCGTGGCGCAGTTTGCTGATGGACAAAATAGATCAGGACCAGAACACAGCAGACCCGGTTAGAACCTAAAGAAACAGAAATCAGCATCTCTTCATCCTCAATCGTCTCCTGAGGCTGATATGGTTCAGAACATTTTGCTATGATTAAGTTTCTTATTGTGGTTTTAGTAGACTGTTATGGTTTGATTATAAAATAATCAATTATTTGCTTATTTAATGTATAATATCAGCCAAAATAATACAAATTACCATTTAAAGAACAAATCATATTAAGAGATTAACAGTAAATACATCAATATTTCCTACTTTAAAACATTTGTTAGGGTTTTCTGTTTATTAAGAAATGTTGACATATTTTATTAATTCAGTGGTCATTTAATGTATTATTAATGTCAGACACAGACCTGCAGCCCAGGGGCGGATCTAGATGGGGGCCAACGGGGGACAGAATAAATTATGCTAAATAAATGTCTTATGTTAATATTCAGAGGTGGATTTTTTTAATCTTCACAATTTTACTTTAACAATGAATTTAAAATAATAGTGCTGCACTTTTAGATTCTATATAGGATCATAGTTTCCATCTGCTAGATCAGGATCTGCAACCTGAATCTCTGGAGACACAAGTGGCTCTTTGGCTTATTTATTATATCAAATGATGAAATGTTGCTCTGATTTTTTTTTCATTCTTTTTTAACTGTCCCCATGAAATAACACTGACTATCCTGACTCCTGTGGTAAATTTGGTCTAGAACCAGCCTCCAAGCCTAACTATTTATTTCTATAAATATTTCAGTAATATTCTTTACAGTACCAGAGTTTTCACATAACTTTTATACTTTTGGCTGTCTGAGGACACATTTTTGTTATTTGTTATGATCAGTAACTCAGTGCTTGAGCAGTTTACCAAATACTTTTTACACTTGCTTAATTATATATGTTTAAGGTGTGCTGCTCTGGTTGGAGTACAATTTTGGAGTACTCTAAGTATGAACGATTGCTCTATGGATCACTTTTTTAAAACATTGCGATAAAATATTGTCTATCACTGAAGCGGCCGTCCCGCCCCATGTCAGTAGGACGATGCGCCGCGGGGAGCGTCCCTTATTTTCTGAAAGGTGGCAACCCTAACCTGTTATGGTGGTAAAAGTCAGTCCCAGGATCTTTATAGAAATTCACCACTTTATTCAACTCTGACTAGATGAATAACAGAATCAGAAACTCCAAAAGGAAACAACAACAGTGATCACACAGCGCTCAAAAAACTTGTTGCTCTTCTGAGTTCAACACCTGCCTGCTACCTGTTGCCCCCTGACTCAGATTCTTGAGCCTGCAGCGCCATCTAGTGACCAAGGAGGGAATATATCACATATTTGGCTCCTGCAGTGAATGGAGGCAAGAAGGTGGAAAAAGCAACCTGCTGCTTTTACAGAAAGAGGGAAGGAAAGTCTGAGACAGAAACCTTTATTTACTCTGATAATATAACACAGATTAAAGTTTATATGTTTCCATGTAAATTATTTAATAATTCTAAATTCATTTTCATTTTTAAACCATAATGTTTCTTTAAAATCATCTGATCCAGAGATCTGATGGCGAAAAACCATTTTAAATGTGAACATTATCAGATAAACAAGCAGTTTCTTTGGTTAAAAGGTTTTTCTCTAGATTTCCTTAATTTAGGCTGGGAAAGGAGAAAACATTATTCTTTCTCTGCCTCTTCTAAAGCTGATGTTTGTGGGAGAAGCTCAGATAGAAACAGTAAAATGAGGACATGGTGACATGATGAGGAAGAGTTCATGTTGCTTAAAGCATTTAATAGAAATGTTTCTGTAAGTTTTTTTTATCTGCTCTGCTTTGTGAATCAGATCCTGACAGAACAAATTCTGGTCACAAAACAGAGACAGAAATATTCTGTCTGACAACAGAACAACATTCTGTTTCAGAGAATGGATCCGATCATTTAACATCAGATCATGTGACGTCAGAGACCGTATAAAACTTTCTAATCTGCACCAAATGGTTTTGTTCCAACTTAAACACCAAGTCATGTTATTAATTCAGTTGTTTCTTCTGTTTCAGCAGATGATGGTCTGCAGCAGCTTCTAGAGGAACATAAGATCAGTCTGAGGAGATGTGAATGTGTGACTGAAGGAAGTGATGAAACAGGAAGTAGAACCCTCCTCAACAAGATCTACACTGATCTCTACATCACAGAGGGTCAGAGTGAAGAGGTTAATACCCAACATGAGGTGAAGCAGCTGGAGAGAGCTTCCAAGATCCAGAACCTCCATGACTCTCCAATCAGGTGCCATGACATCTTTAAATCCTTCCCTGACCAACATGGAGCCATCAGAGTGGTTCTGACTAACGGCGTCGCTGGTGTTGGAAAAACTTTCTCGGTGCAGAAGTTCACTCTGGACTGGGCCGAGGGCTTGGAGAACCAGGATGTCAGTGTGGTGGTTCTGCTATCGTTCAGGGAGCTGAACCTGATCAGAGATCAGCAGCACAGTCTTCTCTCAATGCTCCATGTTTTCCATCCAACACTCCAGAAGCTCCCAGCAGAGCAGCTGGATAAATGCAAACTGCTCTTCATCTTTGATGGCCTGGATGAAAGCAGACTTTCACTGGACTTCAACAGCAGGCAGCTGGTTTCTGACGTCACACAGACGTCATCAGTCAACGTTCTGCTGACAAACCTCATTAGGGGGAACCTGCTTCCCTCGGCTCTCATCTGGATAACTACCAGACGTGCAGCGGGCAATCAGATCCCTCCTTCATGTGTTTCCAGGGCAACAGAAGTACGAGGCTTCGCCGATGCCCAGAAGGAGGAGTACTTCAGGAGGAGGTTCGGTGATGAAGAGCTGTCCAGCAGAATTATCTCCCACATCCAGACCTGCAGGAGCCTCCACATCATGTGTGGAATCCCAGTCTTCTGCTGGATCACTGCTACGGTTCTGGAGAACATGTTGACCTCAGAGCAGAGAGGAGAGCTGCCCAAGACCATGACTGACATGTACTCACACTTCCTGCTGGTCCAGACAAAGAGGAAGAAGAACAAGTACCATGGAGGACATGAGACAAGTCCACAGGAGCTGATGGAGGCTGACAGGGAAGTTCTTCTGAAGCTGGGGAGACTGGCGTTGGAACATCTGGAGAAAGGAAACATCATGTTCTACCAAGAAGACCTGGAGCAGTGTGGTCTGGATGTCACAGAGGCCTCAGTGTACTCAGGAGTTTGTACAGAGATCTTCAAAAGAGAGAGTCTGATCTTCCAGAAACCAGTTTACTGCTTTGTTCACCTGAGCATCCAGGAGTTTCTGGCTGCAGTTTATATGTTCCACTGTTTCACCAGCAGGAAAACAGAGGTGATGAAGAAGTTCCTGGGGAAAGAGGAGAATGATGATTTCATCATCCGTGATGAAATCCTCATCCGTGATGAGGATTTCAGTGTCTATGACAGGGAGAGATATGACAGTGAAACATCTCTGGAGGGATTCATGAACAGAGTCATGTCTAAATCCTTCAGCAGTAAAAAAGGCCACCTGGACTTGTTTGTTCGTTTCCTTCATGGTCTCACTCTGGAGTCCAACCAGAGCCTGTTAGGAGGCCTGCTGGGTCAGACAGAGATCAGTCCAAGAACTATCCAGAGAATCATCAACAATCTGAAGAAGATGAACTCTGATGAAATCTCTCCTGACAGAAGCATCAACATTTTCCACTGTCTGGTGGAGATGAACGACCTCTCAGTGTTTCAGGAGATCCAGCAGCTCCTGGAATCAGGGAAGAAGCTCTCAGAGATCCAGTGTTCAGCTCTGGCCTTCATGCTGCAGATGTCAGAGGTTCTGGATGAGTTGGACCTGGAGAAGTACAACACATCAGAATCGGGCCGACTGAGACTGGTTCCAGCTGTGAGGAACTGCAGAAAGGCTCGGTGAGTCCAGATCAGTGATGGCATAGTGACTTTGGAAAAGTAACTTTAATCGGATTACTGATTACCTGATTTGGAAAGTAACTAAGTTACATTAAAAATAACTTTTTTAGTTACTTTCAGCAGCTGCTAACAACAACGCTCCACCACCTGTGAAAGTTACATTAAGCTTTGCCAAAACTTAATTGCAAGTTATTTTGTAATAGTAATATCAACAATGTGTTTCCACTTATAGGGTTGAAATGAAGGGCAGATTGTTAAATGGTTACAACAGCACAAAAAACTGTAGTAATCTTTGTGTGTTTCTATATTGTCTGAAAACTCTAAATAGTATTTTAGCCCCCCTCCCTGCCCCAGCCTCCTGGCCCTGTGTTTGCTGTCATAGCTCACAGATGTAACGCTCTTATTAAATGCGCAGGTCTGACTGCAAGGTTTAGTGTTAACCACTTTGTAAAATCAGAAGTAGGCACGGCATGGAGTCATGATTGGGTGGATAATTGATGCAACTGATGCAAAAAGCTTTGTTTATATTGCTATTTATTGCAGTGGAAATAATAATAATGACAATAATAATAATAATAACAGCAAAAACTAAACAAAAATAAATTGTTCAAAAGAAACAAGGAGAGGGGGAAAAAAACAACCCAACAAAGAAATAATGATCAATAATACTTCAAAACCAAATGTAGTTCAAAAGAAGTCCAAGAGCAACGGGAGAATTGTTCTTTTCCTTTGGATACTCCCTTAAAGTTTATTTTGTTTCCTGTATGGAAAGTATTGTTTGGTTTTCCTGTGTGAAAAGTGTCGTTTGGTTTTCCTGTGTGGAGAGTGTCGTTTGGTTTTCCTGTGTGGAGAGTGTCTTTCTTTTTCCTACCACCAGATGGTGTGTGGGTAGCCCGCCATCCTCCGTCATCAAGCAAGTCGATGAAGGGGGAGAAAAAAAACCTGACCTAAAAGGCCAGAAAACATACATTAAGTTCATATATAAATGTTATATTTATATAAGCTAAATGGGAAAAAACAAATACATACTGCTATGCATTGACAACCACTTCATATTTTATAAAAAATAAGAAAAAAAAGTCCTTTTAAAAAGAAAAGTGCACTTCATAATTCAAGTTCAAAATTTCTCAAAGTAATTAGCAGTCGCTACAATAGCTAATAATAAATCAAATCAATCAACTTTAAGAATGTGATTGATCAAAGTAGCTACAAACAAAATCATATTAGGTACCAGACTTCATAGATGCACCAGCATGGAATACAACAATAACCAAAGAAATCATGAAAAATAATCAAATCTAAAGTTGAAAGGGAAGCCTTTAAATATTAAAGGTGTGGCCTTTAATTCGGCTTTAACAATGTGACTTTTTATTAAGTAAGTAATTAGCAAGTGGACTGAACTGATGTGGCAACTAATTGTCGAGTTGGTAGCTAATGCTAACTGGCGGCGCACTGCGGAAATAACGCCCCATCATATATATGAATGATATTTACTCACCGTCGAGTAACAGATTGTCTGAGGAGGTGGATGCAATGTTAACTTGTTCTCATCAGAAGGTAAACCAGGCGTCAACAAAGCCCAGCCTGGTGAGAATTTCAGCAGATATATTAGCGGCGCTAGTATTACAGGTACAACATCAAGTTCAGATGGTACTTAACTCACCGCAGATCCTCGAGTTTTAGGGATGAATTTGTTCAGTGATGAGTCGAGTTGGAGGTTTGAGATTGTTTTATTAACAACCGACGCCACAACCAACAGTGAGCAGCAGCACAGTGGAAAACCCGGAAATACACATGAGGGTCCCAGAAGTTAAAGGGACGACTTAAAGGGCAGGTGGGTGGGCCATGGCGGTCACGTGGGTTACACAGAGCTTCTCCTGCTGCTCCACAGCTCAGATCACCTTCTGCACAGATTAGTGACATTTATCTTAATATTAATGATTATAATGGCGTTTAGTTGCACAACTTTACAGACTCGTTCATTCATGACTGTTTTCACCTTTATTGCTGTTCATATTAGTCTCGATGTTTGCAGTTTTCTGGAGCTCAACGTGAAGCTCGACGTCATTCACAGCAAATATTAACTTGACATTAACAAAGACACAGCAGGACGGATCATCTGGGAAATGATGGAGAGTCTGACTAAAACTACCTGGATGCCAGATAGATTCTGGGGTTTATTATGCGTTTCTGCTTATTTCCAAACCCAAATGAGAAACTTCACGTTCAGAAACAAACCCAAAAAACTGCAACCAGCGACTCATTAGTTTTCCAAGTGACTTTAGAAAAAACAAGTCCAGAGCCGTTTATAATAATCTGACTTGGTGACAGAAACTCAATAGTTCCTGATTTTCCATCAACAAAATGTTCATCTTCCTCCATTGTTTACGTTTGTGTCGCTGCTGATACTGTTGCATAGAAACGGCGGTCGCTCCCCAAGACACGTAGAAGTAACTTTAGTCTGATTACTGGATTTAAAAAAGCAACTCGTTACTGAAAAACTGGTCCAGATGTGTTCATTGTATTCATTCACATAATGAATGCTGTGTGAATGCAGCATTCATTGTGTGAATGCAGCATTCATTGTTTACATTGTTGCTCTGTTTCTTCTTCGTAGCTCAAATTGCTTCTGGTCGTCTTTGGCCTTTACTTCCTTCATTCTTTGGACGATTTCAATCATCTAAACATTCAGCTGCTACAGGACAGCATTGCTGCAGCTTTTAATATTTAGAGGTTTTTATAAATATTCCACTTTTTATCAGTCTTCATGTATTTAATTCTATAAAACTGTTTTTTCTGACAAATTCAATCAATCAGACACATTTTTAACTTTCACTCATTGGGCCGCTTCCCCATAATTCACATCTTTGGATCTTTGGCTCTTTTTTTATAAAATCCCTGTTTAGGTTTGATGGAAACTTGGACCATTAAAATAAACTCCTGCATCAAAGTTGTTGCCCTTTAATCTAGTTGGAAACTTTATGAACCAACTTTTCTTCTGCCCACTAGTTTCCTCTGAGTTTATAAATGAGAGCAACATGAATGGATGGTTCTGTAACCTCTGTCTGCTGCCAGTCTTGGTCAGGATTCTGTTGCAAAACAGATTTTCAGTCTCAGTGGGATTTTCCTGCTGAAATGAAGGTTAAATAAATAAATTAGTGATTATTTTCTGCTTCATAAAAAGTCATTTCTGGAGGAGTCCTGGTTTCTGTCAGATCCTCCCAAAGCTCTGAGAATCTGCTTCCAGAGCTGGAACCATTTTCCTCATCAGCTCTTCATCTGCAGCCTTTATGAAGCTGTTAATGTCCATAAAGACCTGGAGAGACATGAGCTGCATCACTCTAGAGCAGCTGACCAAACTGTTGGAGACCAGGATCTACTTTTTCTCTCACCAGCCGGCTGAGATCTACCACTCACCCACAGAAACTGGAAATAAAACTATTTTATATGCAGATATACATCAGTTATAGCAGACATATGGAAGTGATGGAAAACCTGATGCAGTTTCTTCCTCAGTGAGATTCTGACACTGGGAGGAGGTTACTGGTTCCTCAGTCAGAAGCTGGTTGTAAACCTGAGGCCAGCAGGAATCAATCAGTCATGGTAGATCTGAACTTTGACCTCAATATGAGAAACTACAGACTGATAGGAGGAACCAAAGAGTTGAGTTAAAATCTTGTGATATTTTTCCTCCAACAGGATCCAGAGGAATCACCTCAAACCAGATGTTGGACTGGATTTTATTTCACTGTCATTTGTGAATGTTAGAGCCTCATTTTCAACAGCGGTGCTATAAAGATTGAAAAAGGTTATCATTTTGGAGAAAATCTCATCAATATTTCCACTAAATAAGAGACAAATATAAATATCATGTTTGATGGAGGAAAAGCCTCTCAGACTCTGAGCTCAAAGCGAGATGCCAGAGAACCAAACTAATATTTCATATTAGACAATTAATTTAATTCCACATAATTATCACCATATGAGTGATTTGTTTGTTAAATACTTAATGAAATATATTTGTCCTTTGATGTTTGTTGTGAATGACTTATACTCACAAATGAACGAGGTAATTAGTCCAATTCTGTCGTTTATTGAACGTTCAGAAACTACAGCAGCTGTAATGAGCCACAGACAAACTAGAGAAGCTGAAGTTTGTCTAGAAAATGGATGAATAGAAACTATTTTCTGATCATCACCATCCGCTCCACCATGTTGGGTCTGTTAGGATATCAGCTCCACTGGTTTCATCCGTTCCTTCATCTTCCAATGAAAATCCTGTTTAAAGTCATGTGATGAAGAGCTTCTGGTCCAGATTGTTGCTGCAGCAGTCAGAGCTCAGCATGAAGAAACAGGGAGGTTTGCTAACAGGTAGCCAAGATGGCCGCCGCTAAAACCTTCAGTTGTTCTGAGAACATGAAGCCTGAACTATTGGAACCTGTTGCTCAGCTTCTCTATTAAATGGATCTTTGAACAGAACCAGAACCAGGATGTTAGTTATGAAATGATCAAACTCAGTAAATTGATGTGAAGACCAGATGTTCATCAGATGATATCAATGTTATCATATGTGTTCATATAGATTATCTGGTTTAATCAGAACTGACTTTATTTCTTCTCTAATCACAGACTTGGTGGCTGTGAACTCAGAGAGGCTGAATGTGAAGTTGTGGCTTCAGCTCTGAAGTCCAACCAACATCTGACTGAACTGGAAATAAGTGAGATCTACATAAAGGGAAACATTACAGACTCTGGACTGAATCATGTGTTTGAGATCCTGCAGAGTTCAGTCAGTAAAGTGAAGAGTCTGAGGTTTGTTTTCTCTATTTATCCTATAAAATATTTAACTGATACTTTAATATTTATTTATCTTCACATTTATTCTGTTTTCTTTAAAAACAATCTGCTCTAAATGTCAGAATATAATTTATAAAATCTTTTGCTTTGTAAATGAATTATTTTCCTTTTCAGACTTTGAGAAAATTGATCTTTATTTTTCACTTTAAAATGTTTTGGACTGATGAACAAAAATAAGTTAATAAGTCAAATGATGATAATTAATGATGGCGATGTTTCAGTTTGTTCTGAAAAGATTCAAATGATCCGATTGATTTATTTCTCTTTTCTTCTTCACATTAATAATGAAAAGTTCCTCCAGAGTAAAACCAGAACCAGAACCAGACCAGTTTTGTTTCATAACCAGAAACTGTAACATGAATTAAACTGGCAGCAGCAGCCGGTTCCTCCAGCTCAGCTTTGTCCTGAAGCTGTGGTTCTGTTGGACCGGGTCAGAGAAGAACCGTCTCTTCAGTCTGTCAGTCGGTTGGAGCCTCAGAGACGCTTCATCAGGTCACTGATCAGAAACTTTAGAGCTGATTCAGAGATAATCCATCGTGTTTCTGATGATCAATAATGATCAGATGTGATCAGTGGTAAAGGAGGCCTGTGTCTCACTGCAGCAAACATCTGGTCCTCGTCTCCAGCCGTCCTCTGTCTCTGCTGTCCATCCTCTGCTGGGATGTCAGCAGGTAGATGGACCGCAACGTCTGCTTGTTGGTGATTGGCTGAGCTGTTGTCATGGCAACATGCAGGTAGCCAGAAGGCAGCATAGCAGCTTGTAGACCAGGACTCTTCAGATCCAGGCCTCCAGGTTCGGTGTCCTGCAGCCTTTAGATGTTTCTGCTTCAACTCCTGAATGAAGTGATGAATTGTCCCTCAGGACGCAGTCAGGTTCTCCAGAGTCCTGCTGAACTTTGACCTCATGATGGGACTCAGGGGTTGAAGGTTGCAGGACGCCGGCCATCGAGGCCTGAAGGTGAAGATCCCTGGTCTGGACCGAACCAGAATAAGTTCTCCAAG